ACACACACACACACACACACACACACACACACACACACACACACACACACACACACAACTGAACGGGGAACACAAAATGAAGAGTATGACCGTGAATAATGTAAACATCTTATTAATTAGCTCCGCCTTTGAAGTCTTATCAGGGTTGAGAGCGCTCACCATCAGGAGCCTTTTTCTCTCCCAGACTCCAAATCCCACAAATCCTCAGTGGTGTGGAGACACCGGTCTGCTTCTGACAGCCGGCAGAACCAATGCTGTTTTGATTATTCAGCTGGATATTCACTAATCTAGTTATAGGGGCACTGATACAGACTAATTCTCTCAGATCATTTTGAAAGGGAAAAAAAAAGACAAAAGCGTCACAGAGATTTGATTAAATCGATTTGAGGTCAGCGATCAAGAAGCTCACAAATTTCTTCAAAATCTGTCTGCAAATTGCGTTAGCAAGAGACTGCCTGGCATAATAGGTTCAAAAGAGACACTAACATAACTGATAATGTGTATATAAAACTTTAATTAAACTCTTGAAAATCAAGATGCCTTTTCTCTCCACTGTAGTTTATCTGTAGATTGTTTTGTTCAAATAAATGACAGAAGTAATTTGCAAACTGTAGAGACATTGTTAAGGCAAATGCTTGAATAAACCATAGCAGGTTATGAGACATGAGACAATAAAATGACAATGAGAACGAGTTAACCCAGTTTAAAGCCACACAGAAGAGGCCTGATGCTCTGTGCTTGAGCCTCAGAATTTTAACAAAACTTGTTGTGACCAACACCCTCTGCTGGCAGCTCTGTGCTACTGCATCAGCAGAAAATAAAAAGTCATCGGAGAGGTGTGTTTGAAAACACATTTGTTTTTTAAATTCTTATGATTTGTATAGGTTTAGATAAGCCGCAGAAAGAATAAAATACATTTTTGTTTAAATTTATATGGATTTGTAGCTAATGTCAAGATTATAAACCCTTTATTTCGCTCATGAAAGATTTTATGACTATATGCTTGATTTAGAGCTTGAGTACAGACTTATATGAGTGGTACAAAAACAATTTTAGCCAGCCAGCTAAGGTGTACAACCTCCTGAATTTCTCCTGCTCATCTATTGTTACAGTTTAACCTTTGACCAGCAGCCTGAAGCCAGTTGAGATCTCACAAGAGCCAAAACAAATGAAAGAGACTGGAGGACGTCTCTAATAGCAATCCCTAACCTTTGTACCAGAGTGTGTGCAAGTCATGCAGTTCCCTATGGCAGTCTCGGTACAGGGAGACAGTAGCGGGAGCCTGAGGGGCAGACACTTGACATTTCCGGCTCATCTTTAAAAGGAGGGCCTTAACCTTTCCCCACAGCTTCTACAGACACGTTTTAGTGGGTTTCGACAAAACGTTCGTGCCACTCAAACAAATGGAGGCACAAACAGAGTGAACAGATAAAAGGTGAGAAATCCAAAAACTATTAAAGCAAGGTCACAATTTCTGTACATGTACACAGAGAGAAATCCACATGGAAAAGGTTTACTTTGAACTTTACAAGCTGATCAAATCAAAGTATTTATCAGCAATAAAACAATGTATTTATTGCATTCTTAAAAATCAAGCTCAATTAGTCACAAGTTCCTCTTAGCAAAGTGAACTAAAACTGCTTCTCCATTTGTATTCTGCTTTCTCCACTGTGACCATGTGCTCTGTGTGTCAGTAAAATGAGACTCTGGGTTTCAGTGTGGAGTGGTCTTCCTCCAGGCCTCCTCCTCTTCTTGTTTTTTTCAAGTGACGGTTGAAAGTAGCTGTCTAATTTGAGCGCTCTAATTACCTGGGATTAGAGACCAGGTGCTATTAAAGCAATTAGACACACAGCACACTCCGGTGCGGCAAACCCTGCACCCTAGCCGGCAGAAAAAACACACATACACACACTTAAAAATACACCTGCATAACACCGCCAATGGAAAAAAAGCATCCTACAAGTTCTCATGCCCATGCTAATCGTCACATATAAAAACAGAAAATAAACATGCACATGCAGAAAAAAATGTTCTGCATAAATAAAAGTAAATATTCCTTTTGTGCCCGTCGCATCCAAAAAGACTCTGCACTTATCGGGCAACAGAGGCACATGAGGAGCAGTTCATCACAACCCCAAACTGATGTAATTTTCTCAATCTGACTGTTCCATTACACTCTGTCCTGATAAAGGTTTACAATTGCATCCAGTCAGTCAAGCTTTCATATGCATCAAATATTGAACAAATACCATATCATCTTTAACAGGAGCGGCTGCATTTCCTTAAGACACAAACGCGAGAGGAGTGAAATTTTCATGAGGAGCAGAAATGCACCCTGACTTATCAAACAGTTTGCCGTTTTGCCTAAAGGAAGGTGTGCGAGTGTATGCATTGTGTGTTTGTCTTTTATCGGCCTGTGTGAATGTCACTCTGTGTGTATGTGTGTGTGTGTGTGTGTGTGTGTGTGTGTAACACTGATGCAGCCATGTAGCTAGCTCGACTCGAGGGTAGGATTAGTGGAGAGCATCGCCTCGGCCCACAAACATTCCATATTAAAAAATGAAAAGGCAACCTTCATTACTATCAGTGCCACATAACCTCCCCTCTTCCTCCTCCTCTGCTACTATTATACAACAGCCTTAACAGCCTGGGCAGAAAATACAAGCCACTGACAAGAGATTCCATTATTCCTGATGCCTCAGTGTCAACAACATACATCTGACGGGGCAAAGAAAGGAGAGAGAAAAATTGAAGAAGGAAAGAGGTTAGAGAGAAAAGGTGGTGTGTGTGTGTGTGTGTGTGTGTGTGTGTGTGTGTGTGTGTGTGTGTGTGTGTGTGTGTGTGTGTGTGTGTGTGTGTGTGTAGAGGGGTTAAGCTCAATACAGTGTCTGAATGAGAAGATAGGAGGAAACCTGGTGATGGAAGAACCCATGTTCCTGTTGGTGTTAGGGATGGATTTCAGAAGTCAGAAAAAGGTGATAAAAGCTGTAATATGGTTTACGGTCTGAAATCCTGAGGGAAYTGGTGAAACATTATATAATAAATTAGAAAACTGTAACAGGTTGATGTTGACAATGTTTTCTTTCTTGTGATGAAGTGCTTTTCATTTGTGAGGTACCTCAAGGCTTCCATTTAGGTACCATTCTATTTTGCAGTACATGACATGATGACTAGCTCAACTAATCAAACTTGGCAAAAACCAAAATGGATATAACAGTTTATTTTACATAACAGGTAAAATTGGGTGTGGTAGTAGTTGAGAGTCATCCTCAATCCCTGAATGCTAACGAGTTATACAAGATCTTTGTTTAAATCTTTGGCTGAGAAAACATCACGTAATATGCATTTTTTCTAACTGTTTTATAATTTTAAAGTGTGTTTTTATTTCTGATGAACGAATTGATTTTACAGTTTAACAATAGATCACAAAGATCTTTAAAAAATTACTAAGTTCTCCAACTATTTATTAAATGAAGCATTATTATTTAATTGCTTAATGCAGGTGAAATGTTTCATATTCAGAACTTTGCATCAGTTGCCAAGTTGAGTGTTAACGGCTGCTTCTGGCTGATGCTGTATGTGTGATCGCTCACAAATATAAACTAATGCAGAAAGCACACAACTCTGGGACCTGAAAGTACAGAAGCCAATGAAACTGGCCTTTCGGAGCTATAAAAAAGATACAAGTCAAACGCTTTAAGTGGCAGCTTTGTCTC